TGATAAACAGGCTGCTCATACCTGCTCCCCGCTGGAGTACAACAGTGATGAAGTATGAAGAAGACAAACCTGGCTAGACCAGACCCAAACTTTGATTTTGTGCTGTTCCCAGTGTCATTTTCCTCAAATGGTCAAAGCTTCAAAAGGCACTTAGAATGTGTTTTTACTTACATGACTGAGGACAATACATGTCCCTTCATAGAAGCATTTTTGGGGATGTCCAGGGCCCAGATTGTGAAACAGAAGCAGCCATAAAGCAACTGAACAACCCCCATCCTGAACTGCCCTGCAGTTCTCCAAATGCATCATCTGCTCTTATTTGTTCATGTTTTTGCCCACGTGGTTCCCTGGAACACCCAAATTCTCTTCTTCTTGCTGGGAGGACCTTCTACAGGAGCCCTTCCTCACCCATTCACACAGAGACAGAGCCCAAAACCACGCTTGCATGTAGTTCAAACGCCACACCTACCACAGTGAACTACAAGGTTTTCTCTTCTGGGGTTCCCATTGGACTGTGAGTGTCCTGAATCCTGTGACTTTAATTCTGGGTTCCTGCCTTGTTTTATTTTTTGCATGCCACCACACCCAGCTAATTTCAAAAAATATTTATATATATTTTTAGGGGTCTCCCTGTGTCGCCCAGGTGGTCTTGAACTCACCTCAGCCTTCCAAAATGCAGATACTACAAGTGTGAGCCACCACACTTGGCCCTTATTCCTATTTCTATCCTGTGCATCTAGAATAGTGCCTGTACATTTTGAGCACATAATCGTGTTTGTTGAATAGTTGGATGAAGGCTGGAGAGTGTGGATGAATGAATGAATACATAAAAAGATCAGAAAAATGTTACCCGCCAAATCGAAGCTAAAAAAGAAAGACTGTCAATGACTTTACATATATGCAGAATTTGTGCATATAATGGTTCTTTCCACATCCACTCGAGACAAGATTATTGCAACGTAATGCATATCTATCCAGTGACTTGTGCTGCGTGTGGCACATTATGAAACCATGCTGATGAACATTAGACTTGGGTAGTAGGAATTGATTTGTTTAATTCTAGATTTGTGAGAAAGATGTGATCTGTGGAACACATGAACGTTTTTTTTTTTTGAGATGGAATCTTGCTCTGTTGCCCAGGCTGATGTGCAGTGGCGTGATCTCGGCTTATTGCAACCTCCGCCTCCTGGGTTCACACAATTCTCCTGCCTCAGCCTCCCAAGTAGCTGGGATTACAGGCATCCGCCACCATGTCCGGTTAATTGTTTATTTTTAGTGGAGATGGGATTTCACCATGTTTGCCAGGCTGGTCTTGAACTCCTGACCTCAGGTGATCTGCCCGCCTCGGCCTCCCAAAGTGCTGGGATTAAGGTGTGAGCCACTATGCCTGGCTGGAACACATGAACATATTTGTCCTTGTTATTTCTTTTAAGCAAAATATTTTTTCTTTTAAATTTGGAGAACTAGGTACACCTTAATAAATATATTTATTTGAAGCATCATTTCATTAGTCATGGTTTTAAAATTTTTCATAAGAAAATTTAAAAATAAACCAGTTGTAACACATCTGAAGTGGAAGTCACACTGAGCCAGTCATTTCATTTCCAGGTGACTTGGTCTCTTTCTTGCATAATTTGTAAAATGATACTAGCCCTTACTAGTATTTACATTGTAAAAGTGTTACTGTAAATTAGATGGTCTAAAATGGGTTATGATGTCTTCTTTGAAAGACAAGCATTACACACAAATGAGGTATTATTATTTAGTTTTGCCTTTTCAAGCTCGTTAAATGAGAATTAGATGAAAACTCTGCTTTAAGCAATATTCAGCGGGTAAGTGACGAGTGAAATGAAAAGAAAACTTCTCCAGCTGAAAACTCAGTTTGTGCAGCCTGGCCTCTCTGTGCACAGGCAAAAATAGTGTATGTATAGGTGATATTTACCAGTGTTCTTTATCTCTTCTCTGTCCTGTAATCACAAACTGAAGACAGTTAAGCCTTTCGGTTCAGTCATGGCATGCGTTTTGGAAAACCTACGGAATCTGGAATGATTACAACTTAGAAATAATGTTTCCACAAATCAAGTCATGCAGCTAGCTTTCTTACTGGGTTAGGGCCCAAATTAACTGTACCAGGCCTTCACTTCCACTCCTGCTTCTTAGGATGGGGGCCCTGTTCCTGCAGTATTTCAGGTCAGTTTCCACTAAGGCCTGTGTGCACTTCATTAATACCCCCGACCAGGCCCAGGGTTTTCCTATCTTGGAATACAGGGAGAGGATGGGAGAGAAGGGGTGTTGTGGAAATAAGATCTGGGAAATTGTGAATATCAGAAACTTCATGTGAAGGCCTGAGAATGGAAACAGTACCCTGGGAGGATTCAGGGTGAGAGCGAGCTGCTGGTGATGGACCCATCTATAGACCATCAATGTTTGTGGCCTCTGTGTGGTCTGATGTGGCATTGATCACGTTGGGGTCACCACCTGAGACATTGATTGCTACCTGTGGGGGTCTGTCCTGCAAACCCTGACTCCGCGACAGATGAATAAATACACTCAATACACAGAGTACAGTGAATGAGTGGGCTAGGAAGGTTGTCAGCCGCTCTCAGAGGGCAATTGCAGCTACCTGACCCCTTATTAGCTGTTCTTCCTTGCATTTATTCAGTATAGATTTAATGACAGAGGTTCTAAGTCAACACACTTGTGCATAATTAACATCGTTAAAAGAGTGATTTTATGTCAAGCCTGTAATCCCAGCACTTCGGGAGGCCGAGGCAGGTAGACCATGAGGTCAACAGATCGAGACCATCCTGGTCAACATGGTGAAACCCCGTCCCTACTAAAAATACAAAAATTAGATGGGCGTGGTTGTGCACACCTGTAGTCCCAGCTGCTCAGGAGGCTGAGGCAGGAGAATCACTTGAACCCAGGAGGCGGAGGTTGCAGTGAGCTGAGATCACACCATTGCACTCCAGCTTGGGCAACAAGAGCAAAAACTCCGTCTCAAAAATAAAAAGTGTGGTTTTATGAATGATGAAAGGTTTCGGTTCTGGGGGCCCAGAACAAACGCCATTAACAGGTAATCCCCCTTCCACCTCCCTCTGAGAGGACCATCGGGACACAACATTTACGTAAGTAAACAAGTAGAGTAGAGACAAAGGAATGTGGGGTAAACAGACTTAACTGGGGAAGCTTCTATGATTCCTAATCTTCACCCGATGACCTAATGCTCTAAGGTAACTGGCTGACTTCAGCCTGTTCCATGATCACAAGTTTATGAAAACCTTTGGCCTTCCAAAAGGTTTGAAACGATAATCTTATAACTTTCCTTAGTGTTTTGCCAGCTCTGCTGAGGGAATCTCAACAGTCTGATAGCTCTAACCCATTTCTGGTCCCTGCTCCTGGACTCCCCCGTCCCTCCCCTCTCATCCAAACCCCTTCTGGTGTCCATCCATTAGGCCTTGACTCACCTTTGCTTCCTAGGGGCGACCTTCAGCTTCGCTTGCAGTTATGGTCATCTGCTCTCCACCTGACCCATTTATTTTGGCTTCTGGATTTTGCTCCTAGAGAGGCCCCCTGCTTGGATAGCTGCCTGGCCAGCTGCAGAGCCAGCTGTTTTCCAGACTTCAAGGTGACTACACTCCTCTCTTCTCCCTCTGACTGGTCCCAATACATGGGCCATGACAAGAAGTGAGAGATAGTGACAGCGTGACAATTGTGTCAGAACAGATTCGTCCCTTTGTAGGTCATGTCGTTAGTGGACTGCTCAGAGTTCGGGTGCACATTCATGCCTTGCAGTGGGCCACAGACTGGGAAGTCTGTGTGGACCTCAGAGGCCTAGGGACAGGGCGGGGCAGAAGAAACGTTAGGCGGAAAACACAAGAGGCTGATCTGGTTTGCTCTGCAGTTTCGACCAAGACCACAACTGGTTTTTGGGGTACTGCTCAACACACAGGCCACGTGCTCCAAGAGCGCTGGCATGAGGTCAACTGAGCTGACGCACAGGTGGTGAGGGACCTAGAGATCCTCTGAGGTGAGTCTAATGGCAGACCGCTTTCCTTACCCTTGGAAAGAACATTTAGGGATTATGTCTTTACCCCCCGCTTTTTTTTTTTTTTTTTTTTTTTGAGACAGAGTCTCGCTCTGTCACCAGGCTGAAGTGCAGTGGCGCGATCTTGGCTCACTGCAACCTCTGCCTCCCAAGTTCAAGTAATTCTCTTGCCTTAGCCTCCCAGTAGCTGGGATTACAGGCTTGCACCACCACACCAGCTACTTTTTTTGTATTTTTAGTAGAGACGGGGTTTCACCATGTTGGCCAGGATGGTCTGAATCTCTTAACCTCGTGATTTTCCTGCCTTGGCCTCTGAAAGTGCTGGGATTACAGGCCTGAGCCACTGTGCCCAGCCATGTCTTCCACTTTTAAGGCAAACTTCTTGAAACAGATGTCTGCGTCCATGGGTTCCATGTACTCCTCCACTCACTGTGACCTGACTGCTGCCTGCACGGACCCTACTCCCTGCCAAACCAGTCAGGTATCTCCATGGTACTCACCTGTAGGTGCTTCTTAGTCTTTTTCTTGCTTGATCTCTTGATAGCACTTGCCTTTGTGGATCACAGCCTACTTCTTGAAATCTGCTTTTACCTTATTCTCTGGATACCTCACCATTCTTTTTCCCAACCTCTTTGGCTATACCTTCTCACTCTTTTTTTCAGGGGTCATTTCTCTGCTCATCTCATATAGCCTGGATATTTGTGTCCTCCAAAACTGATGTTGAAATTTCATCCCCAGCATGGGAGGTGGGTCCCAGTGGGAGGTGTTTGGATCATGGGGCTGGATCCCTCATGAATGGCTTGGTGTCTTTCTTGCTGTAATGAGTGAGTTCTCGCTCTATTAGTTCATGTGAACACTGATGTTTAAAAAAGCGGCACTTCCTCTTTTCACTCTTGCTCTCTCTCTCTGGCCATGTGACACGCCTGGTCCGTTCACCTTCTACCACGAGCAGAAGCTTCCTGAGACCTCGCCAGAAGCAGATGTGAGTGCCATGTTTCTTGTACAGCCTGCAGAACTGTGAGCCAAATAAACCTCTTTTCTTTAGAAATTAGCCAGTCAGGCATTCCTTTTAAGCAACACAAAATGAACTAACATACCATCCTTTATTTAAGCCTTGCTGCTATTCTGGCTTCTCTCTTTCTCTATGCTCCGACACACTCTCCCAGGGCATGTCATTCATCGCTGTGAAGTCTCTTGCTGTCTATCGTGTACAATGACTCCTAAATGTGTGTCCTCAGATTTCTAGATCAAACTGCTTGCTGTTGCTCTGAATGTTCCCCAGTCATCACAAAACAAACACATCCAAGGCTGAACTCAGCACCTTCTCCCCTAAATATCCTCCATTTCGAATTCTTATTTTTGCTGCCTTATTGAGTGATATCACTATCCACCCAGCTGTCCACATCAAGAACCTGATCTCCACTCTGGATTTTCTTCAAAACTCCAACATGTAATCCATCTTGACTTTCAGTAGTTTCTACCTCCTTGAGAGTGTGACTTGTACATTTCTCCATAATTTAGTGCTGCTTAGCCTCATCTCTGACCACTTTGGCTAAGACCCTAGAAACTACTTTGAGTACTCAGATACTCTGCATGCGTAATCATGCATTGTTCTTTCCAAAATGTGTGTATGTTGTACCCTCCCCCTGAAAAAGACCTCCCTACCTCTTTATTTGATTAACTCCTCCATACCTTGTAAGTCTCTGTGTACAAGCTACTAACTTCCAAGTTTCCCGAAATCTGGATTAGGTGATCTCCCCAGGGCTCTCAGTACTTATGTCTTCATAACACGCTCCTTTATCACAGCTGACTTTCCTGTGTCTTCTATGCGCATATCTCCTGTGGGGTCCCTGTAAATGCTTACCAGGACCTTATTTTTTCTGTTCACCTTTGTATTCTTAACACCAACAAAGTATTGTGTACAAAAATAGATTCTCAAGGAATGAACGAATATGAATGTCAAAAGTATCACTGTGAAAATATAAAATAAATTTCTGGCTGGGTGCGGTGCCTCACAACTGTAATCCCACCACTTTGGGAGGCTGGGGCAGCAGGGTTGCTGCAGCCCGGGAGTTTGAGATCAGCCTGGGCAACATGGTAAGACTCGCTATACAAAAACAAACAAGCAAAAAAGGCAGGGTGTGATGACTCAAGCCTATAATCCCAGCATTTTGGGAAGCTGAGGTGGGAGTTCACCTGAGATCAGGAGTTTGAGACCAGCCTGGCCAAAATGGCTAAACTAAAAATATGAAAAAATTTAGCCTGATGTGGTGATGTGCTCCTGTAATCCCAGCTACACAAGAGGCTGAGGCAGGAGTATTGCTTGATCCTGGGAGGCAGAGGTTGCAGTGAACCAAGATCGTGCCACAGCATTCCAGCCTAGGTAACAAAGCGAGACTCTGTCTCAAAAAAAAAAAATTAAAATTAAAATAATAATAATAAATCAGCCAGGTGAGGTGATGTGCACCTACAGTACCAACTAATCAGGAGGCTGAGATGGGAGGATCACTTGAGCCCATGAGGTTGAGGCTGCAGTGAGCACCATTGCACTCCAGCCCAGGCAACAGAGTGAGACCCTGTCTCAAAATAATAATAGTAATAAATAAAATTTCCAGTCAGAGAAAGCAATTAGTATTTTACTTAACAAAGAATGGTCCAGTCCTTCAAACATTAAAGGGATTTCTTGAAAGATTTAAAATATTGCTGGGCATGATGGTGCACACCTGTAGTCCTAGCTACTTGGGAAGCTGAAGCAGGAGATTGCTTGAGCCTGGGAGACTGAGGCCAGCCTGGGCAACATAGTGAGACCCCATCTTTAAAAAAAAAAAGATTTTAAAAACTTAGAAGAACTTACCAATATTAGAATTGTAAGCAGAGGGGCTGGGCACAGTGGCCCATGCCTGTAATCCCAGAACTTTGGGAGGTCAAGGTGGGTGGATCACTCGAGGTCAGAAGTTCAAGACGAGCCTGGCTAATGTGGTGAAACCCCATCTCTACTGAAAAAAAAAATACAAAAAACAATCCAGGTGTGGTGGTGCATGCCTGTAATCCCAGCTCCTCAGGAGGCTGAGGCATGAGAATCCATTGAACCTGGGAGGCAGAGGTTGCAGTGAGGCGAGATCACGCCACTGCACTCCAGCCTGGGCCATGGAGTGAGACTCCACATTAAAATAAAGAATAAAACATTATAAGCAGAGGATAATTAATAGAGGCAGACTTCACATCTGTCCTGTGGGCTTCTTTTCCAGAGTTCCATATCCGGACTTTCAAACCATGTTCTGGGGTCATCCAAACATTCCATCCTCCTGACTCCATAAACTACTGGATTCATAACCGGCTCCATACTTGAAAACATGGGGATTGGAATTCGGTAAGTGTTGACGTTGTAGTTCTTTCTCTCTTTACTTGTCAACAATGTACTGTACCAGTACAGTAATGCTTTTTCAATTCTTCTCTCTGGAGTCTTCATCAGAAGATGTGACTGGACTCCTGACTAGTCTAGTTGTTTCACAATGTTTGAATATGCTACGTGTACAAAGAAATGTTGTGAAGTCTTCTGAAGACTTCCATCCTTTTACATTTTCTCTTCTGTTTCATAGGTATTTAAATTCTTTGGCTGGGTGCGGTGGCTCATGCCTGTAATCCCAGCACTCTGGAAGGCTGAGGCAGGCGAATCATGAGGTCAGCAGTTTGAGACCAGCCTGGCCAACAAGGCGAAATCCTGTCTTTACTAAAAATACAAAAAATTAGCTGGGCGTGTGGCAGGCACCTGTAATCCCAGCTACTCGGGTGGCTGAGGCAGGAAAATCGCTTGAACCAAGGAGGCAGAGGTTGCAATAAGCCGAGATCACACCACTGCACTCCAGCCCAGGCAACAGTGTAAGACTTCATCTCAAAAAAAAAAAAAAATTCTTCATCATTGTTCTATTGATTTTTTTCTAAAAGTGCATACACAAAAGTGAATTTTCAGCTGGACACAGTAGCTCATGACTGTAATCCCAGTGTTTATAGGTAGCATGTGCCTGTAGTCCCAGCTACTTGGGAGGCTAAGGCAGGAGGGTCACTTGAGCTCAGGAGTTTGAGGCTGCAGTGAGCCATGATCACAACACTGCACGCTAGTAGAGGCAACAGAGCAAGACCTTATCTCAAAAAAATAAAAAAGAAAAAGAAAAGTGGATTTTGAGAATCAGAAAGACTTGCTGCCCACTCTGGGCCAGGTGAATAATGCAAGACGTGAGTAGTTCAGCCATACTCCAGAAACAACTGCTTTAGCCACATTGCCTATCAACAACCCCACTCCATCCCCACTGTCAAATTTTTCTAGCCTCATAACTGCTTTTGCTTTCCAAAACACTTAATTGTTTATTGTCTACCTCCCCTTCTAGAATGTAAGCATCATGAGGGCAGGCAATTATTTTGTTCAGCACTAGATGCTCAGCACTTGGAGTAGTAACTCAGTAAATATTTTTTGATTGAATGAATGATGTCTTTTGCAAGTTTTTCTTTTTAATTTTTATACTTTTTAAAATAGAGATGAAGTTTTGCTACATTACCCAGGCTGGTCTTGAACTCCTGGCCTCAAGCAGTCCTCCTTCCTCAGCCTCCCAAAGTGCTGGGGTTACAAGCATGAGCCACCACACCCGGCCCTTGTTTTCTTTTTTTCTTCAAAGAGGCTGATGCACATTTGGGTCTCTAGGGATCTAATGAAAGTCTGGTTTTTCCCTGAACACTTTTATCGATGACTAAGACAATAACATTGATGGTATGCTGAACAAATTTACAGATGACACACATTAAAAAGAATAACAAATGAGTCGGAGGATACAATCGGATTCTCTCCCCGCCCCCAATCCTGACAAAATGTAATAATGAATCATATCTAACAATATAGCATTTAATGGATACCAATATAAAGTACTCAAAGATCCCCAAATTGAATTGTAAAAGTACTGAGTGGGGGCGAGATGATGTACTGAGCTACACATGGCAGGAAGGTTTACAGTCTCCTGTTGATGGTAAGAAGGTGATGAGTCGACACAGTGGGATGTAGCTTTTAAAAAAAATCAATCTTTTGTTGTACTTATAGAAATGTAGTGCTCAAGAGGGGAGCTAGTTCTCTAGTACTCACTGGTGATCAGACCACATTTGTTCTGTTTTATAAATTCTGAGCTGCAGACATTCAGAGACATTGATAAACAAAGTAAAAATGAGGAAAGTTAAAAGTATAATAAGAAATCTGGTGCACAGAGTTATTCAGAAATAACGAAAAGATCCAAGGTTGTATGTAGGTGTGTAAGGGAGATGGTGATAACTAGCATATGTAGCTACCTTTCAAAGTTTGTGGGACTATCCAGCAGAGGAGAGATTTGATTTCTTCTGGGTAATCCCAAATGGCAGTATGTAAGTATATTTCAACCCATTAACATTGGTCAACTGTTAGATTTGCCTAGCAGCCAGTGGAGGTAGTTCATTCCCTGACCCTGGTACCTGGAAGTGGGGCAGTCATGCCTTATTCACTGGGTGCACTTGTGATAGAAGTTCAATCCGTGGAGTGAGGATGTGAGAACAGATTGTTTATAATAGCAAAACATAGTGACTGCTTACTGTTTGGCAAGCACCATAGTCAGTGATTAACGTGGTTGTCATCTCTACCACATCCCACTAGCTCATTTTCCAGATGAGCAAAGTGAGGCTTAGTGGGATTGAGCAGTTTGCTCAAGGTTTTACACCTTGGCACAAAGCCGATCTAGGATTTAAATCCAGGCAGTCAGATCCCAAACCTTAATCATTATTCTATAAGGTCCCTAAGTGGCGCGTGGTGGTGTGCGCCTGTAGTCCCAGCTACTGGGGAGGCTGAGGCAGGAGAATCACTAGAACCCAGGAGTTCAAGACTGCAGTGAGCCATGATCATGCCACCGCACTCCAGCTTGGGCATCAGAGCAGGACCTTGTCTCTAAAGTAAGTGAATAGAAATAAAAGTAAAGTATAATGGCTCAAAAGAGCCATTCTTTCCCACCTTGAGATTCTATCACTCTAATGAAATAATTAAACAGAGGAGTATCTTATCTCAAAGAGTGGATGATTCTATAGTACACAGGTTCCCTTTATATCTAATATGCAGGAACTGTGATTAGTCTGGTCATTTGCCACTTGGGTATACTATATGGAGCCCAGCATAGGACCCGGCACACAGAAGGTGCTCACTAATTATTTAAGTGAAAGAAAGAACAAATGTAACAAATACATTGGCAGCATCTGAAATGACAGAATCTCAATACATTGTGCCTGAAGAAAAGCACATTTCTGGGTGGTCTACCAAGGACCCTTGGCAAAAGTGATAATCAGTCATTCCCGGCAAAGGCCTTGAGAATTCCTGTGCAATTGCTTCAGTGATATTCATTTAAACAAATATTTATTGAGCATTGGTCCTGTGCCAGGTATGTCCAATGTGTTAAGGATGCAGAGGTGAATTGGAGGATGTGCTGTCAGTGGGGGAGAAGAACAGGTGAGCAAATCCTTACAATACCTTGTGACAAGTGCTATCGCAGGTGCATGTATGTTATTTTAAGTATTATGGAAACAAAGAGCAGAAAGGAATTAATTCTACTTGGTTGAAGGAGTCGTCTGATACTTGATTATGTTTTATTTACTTATTATTATTATTTTGAGAGAGGGCCTCTCTTTGTTGCCCAGTCTGGAATGCAGTGGCATGATCTCAGCAACCTCTGCCTCCCAGGTTCAAGTGATTCTCCTCCCAAGTAGCTGGAATTATAGGCACCTGCCACCACACCCAACTAATTTTTTTTGTATTTTTAGTAGAGTCAGAGTTTCACCATATCAGGCTGGTCTCGAACTCCTGACCTCAGGTGAGCCACCCACCTTGACCTCCCAAAGTGCTGGGATCACAGGCATGAGCCACCAACCCCCAGCCATTGTTTATGTTTTAAAAATAGCTTCATATATATGTTACTTGAGTTTATTCAGTCTTCATAAAGATCATGTGAGATCATGACTTGTGCAGAAGATGAAATAGCATCTCAGAGAGCTTAAATGAGATCCCCAAGGTCATACAGCTGGTAATAATAATTGCCCATATTGATTGAGTGCTTAGAATATCTGCGACTCTGTTCTTAACCATTTTTCAGACACTTAATCCTCACAAAAACTCTGTAAGGTAGTTATTGATATCATCACCATTTTACAAATAAGAAAACCAAGTTACAAGATTTAAGAAACTTGCCTACACAGGAGAATCGCTTGAACCCAGGAGGCAGAGGTTGCAGTGAGCCAAGATGACCCCACTGCACTGCAGCCTGGGTGATAGAGCAAGACTCCGTCTCAAAAAGAAACTTGCCTACGGTCACATAGCTAGAAAGTGGAAAACCAGGATTTGCACCTATACAGTCTGAGTTTAGCAGGCAGATGTTGATCCACTGCACTAAATTGCCTCATCTAGTTCCCCAAAGAGCTGGAACTCACATACTTGGACCCTGATTCCAAGTTCAGTTCTCTTTCAAGTGACCTTCCTTGTTAGCAGATACTGTATCCAAATGAGAAGAAACGGTCACACGGATACAAAGAGACTGTGTAGTTCTTGCATCAGTGGTATGGTGGTATCATGGTATGGTGGGAGGGTGATGGTGAAGTCTGAAATGCACATGAACTTAACCATTGACAAGCATTATGGTACAAGCTTTAGATTTACTATGCTTTAGGCATTCAGGGTGTTTTCAGGGCAGCCAGAATTTTTCTTTTGTTTTTGAGGCAGAATCTCGTTCTGTTGCCCAGGCTAGAGTGCAGAGGCATGATCATGGCTCACTGTAACCTGGAACTCTTGGGCTCAAGTGATCCTCCCACCTCCACTTCTCAAAGATCTGAGATTACACATATGAACCACCACATCTGCAGAATTTGGCCTGTTGTCCAGGTCGACATACTGGGCTGTATGGACTAGACTTGTTATTCATAGGAACTAGCCACTAACACTTACCTGCAGCCTTTTGAATGGTTTAAAGTTTTCTAAAAAAGAAGAAGACAAGGCATAAACATTAAGAATGAAACACATAAAATTCAACACCTGTATATTAGCAAGAATGGAATGCAGAAATGGAGAAATAAAACACATAATTGTTTAAATTGTCCAGCTTTCTCTCCATAAGAAAAATTGGATTGAAAAACAGTTCAGGGCGGGACATGATGACTCATGCCTGTACTCCCAATACTTTGGGAGGCCAAGGTGGGAGGATCACTTGAGTCCATGGGTTTGAGAGCAGCTTGGGCAACATAGTGAGACTCCTTTTTTAAAAACTTTTAAATTAGCCAGGTGTGATAGTGCACAGCTGTAGTCTCTACTTCGTAGGCTGAAGTGGGAGAATCACTTGAGCCCAGGAGGTCAAGGCTGCAGTGAGCCATGATTGTGCCACTACATTCCAGCTTGGGTGACAGAGTGAGACCCAGTCTCAAAAAAAAAAAAAAAAAAGATGAAGAAGAAGAAAAATACTTAAGTCTAATATTACTGTGCCTTAACAATTAAGTTGGTCTGGCTCTGTGGCAAATCTAAATGAAAAAGAATTGCTTTTTAAAATGAATGAAGGAGATTCCTTCTTATTTAATAATTACTACTTATGTTAATGTGGACATGACCTATAGGATCAAAGATATTGTGTCTTTAAAACAGCCATCTCTCAGGAGTTTTGGAGATTTGGTCATTTTAAAATCAGCTGCAGGCTCGGATTTCTGTGGCAGGCAGTGGGGCAGAAAATGTCCATGTTCTCTGGTGTTCTTCAGTGTAGGTGGGGTTTTGGTATTGCTGGGTTTTTCGTGTTTTGTGTTGTCATTTATAGAGATTTAGTAGATTCAACTCATTACCTTGGCCTTTGTGTTTTTGGATTTCTATTTTCTTGGCTTCAGTTCCTTGGAAACATTTGTTTTGATGGTGGCAGGAGAGTTGGTTTAGTCATGTTTTATTTTTGTTGTTTCTATTTATTTCTAATATCCTTTAGTTCAAGTCCACTTACAAAGTGTCATGTAACCTGTCTTTATGCCTCCCCAAATGAAATGTTCCCACTAGTAACTCTAGTGTAACCTTACAGGAGTAGTTAATTTGATGCCCAGTTGATGCCCAGCGAGTTGGTTCTGTAGTATTAGAACAAGGGTATGTCTTAGAAATTATGTTTGAAATTTATAATTGGATTTAGCATTTAGCATGTGAAATTTCAAATGTCTTAGATCAACAAGTAGCCATATTCATATAAACATATTTTCCTTTTCATCGCTGAGTCAAGAGAAGTTGAAAAATTATTTTCTCACACATTCCATTCTTCAACTAAACCTGAAGGTAAATTACTTTTAAAAACCACATTCCAAACAAACAGTTTTTCATAAAGCTATGAGAACATGAATAGAGTGGGCCCTGCTGGCATTTGGGATGTGCATGTAATTAAAACTCTCAGTTTTTCAAACATGTAATTTACTACAGTTGAGGTTTCTAATTCTTAACTTGGAGTCCGTTGGGATGAAACAAGTGACCCTTGTTGGAAATATGTCAAGAATCAACTTTCTCAGGTTGACCTTTAGTTTGCTGGTCATCAAATGAAAACACTGTATCTTCCCAGGCTTAAAGATGTCGGAATCTTCCTAAGTTTGTTAAAAGATCAAGGCAGAAGGCTAGCACTGCTGTGCTGCTGTGAAAAACAGACTTCCCTCTCCCTTCTCCTTTTAGTTGGTTTCTGCCTGAGAGAGAACCTGCTCCACCTCGGCTGGCCCTATCTTTGCTCCAAGAGTCGCCTTGTATACCTGTCGTACACCCTTTGGGGTGTAGGGAAGGTGAAGTACCCTGTTTTTGCAACCAGATAGATGGTTGTCATCCTTTGAACTGATGTGTCATCCTTTCTAGTACAAGGCTCAGTACTAGGCACCAAGGACTGCTGCAGATGCTCTCAATCACTATTGTTCATAACCTAAAAGAGACAACAAAATTTGGAATAATTCAATGACCGTATGACCTTGAGCAAGCAACTTAATCTCTCTCTAAAATAAGGATCTCATGCCTGGACAACATGGCAAAAAATACAAAATTACAAAAAATACGAAAATTAGCTAGGCATGGCGGTATGCACCTGTAGTCCCAGCCACTCAGGAGGCTGAAGTGGAAGGATCACTTGAGCCCAGGAGGTCGAGACTGCAGTGAGTTATGATGGCACCACTACATTCCAACCTGGGTGACAGATGAAGACTTTCTCAAAACAAACAGACAAACAAACAAAAAATCGCTATTTCACAAAGTCATTGTACTAAATACTTGGGATTATATATGAAAATACTTAGCAAAAATCTTAGAACATAGTTGCAAGTGTAGATTGAATTTATGTGAAGTATATAATAATCCACAGAAACTCAAATGGAGAGATGGACCCAAATCAAAATCGTCTGCCTGTAGCCATTTGTTAAATCAGTTTCACTTTCAAATTTAGCTAAATCTACCTATGATTTTGCTTTAAAGTCCACATTCAGAACAAAAGAAGTACTTCCATGATAATCTATTCAGACAGATTTCATAACAGGAGCTGACAAGGGTTTATTTAGGAGAAAATGATATGTAAACCAGTAGAAGAAGGAAGATTAGGTAGATAAAATGTCTATTTCAAAATAAATGAAGAAGGGACAATTATCTGACACCAGAACATTCCGATGGTGATATAATTATAAAATAGACTTGTTTTTGTAAGTTGGGGATTCAAAAAATGTTTATTGACCTTAAAGGAATAACCTTTTTATAACTGAATGAGAAACCATGCAGTACCTTGCATTAACTAGTAATATACTAAAAATATCCGCTAACTATCTTTCTGTTTAATTGCATCTGCTGTCACGGACTTACATTTATTTCAGTGATACAAAAAGAGTGATTTGATTTGGTAACTGCCTGTCCTCTCTGCATATCAGAAAATGCGAAGGAGAAGTCTTCCCTCTGACTCACTTAGCTGTGAAAACAAGACTCTGCCAAGTTGTTGGAAACAAACACCGTAGTAAAACTACAAGAAAATTCTGCTAAGAAACCTTTTCCCATCTGCAAATTACTTGACTAAAACCTGAGGTGCTGGATTTCAGCGCAAAGGTGACTTTGGAGGAGAAAGTTTGTGCCAAACTTAGATCTGTTGTTTTTGTGTTATGTAAGAAGGAGAAAAAAATTAACTGTTTACTCCTAAGCTATAAATTTAAGATTATTTATCTATTACACCAAATAACAGAATTTCCAAACCTCTGTAGCTTTACTTTAGAGCTATGTTTTCATAAACTATGATCTGTACTCAATCAAAACTAAATGTAATTGAATATTAAATAATTAGCCTTGCCCATTTATTTAAATAATACTGGACAAAGTTATTTTATTCACTGTGTCGGAAGTGAATTATAGTTGAATTGCAAAAATAGCATTGTTAAACAGTGAAAATATTTGTCTTTTTAAATAACTTTTCCCTAATTATAAAAAATACATGTGTAGCATAAAAAAATAGAATACAGAGTAAAAAGAAGAAAATAAAAATCGGCAAGTCACCCATAATCTGTCACCCAAAGAGATCATCATTAAAATTTTGTTTTTAATTTATACACAGACACAAACACACACATGCACACAGATACACATACCAGAATATTCATTATATATTAATGCATATTAATGGTTTATTATAGAAAAATTAAACATAAGGAAAAGTAGGCAGAAAGCATAAAGGATCCCATCTACCTATCAACCCATGTCTAACCCATCAATATCCTCTTCCTCTCCCCATCTTACTTTATTTTGAAGCAAATTCCAGATATTACATTATTTCATCCATAAATTTTTTTCTTCATTTGAGACAGAGTCTCACTCTGTCACTCAGACCGGAGTGCAATGGCATGATCTCGGCTCACTGCAACCTCTGCCTCCCCAGTCCAAGCGATTCTCCTGCCTTAGCTTCCTGAGTAGTTGGGACTGCAGGTGCGTGCCACCATGCCCAGATAATTTTTGTATTTTTAGTAAAGATGGGGTTTCACCATTGTTGGCCAGGATGATCTCGATCTCTTGACCTTGTGATCTGCCCACCACCACACCTGGCCCCATAAATTTTGACTCATTCCTGTAATTCCAACACTTTGGGAGGCCCTGGGCAGAAGGATCACTTGAGGCCATTAGTTTGAGCCCAGCCTGGCCTATATAGCAAGGCTTTGACTCTACAAAGAATTTAAAAATTAGCCATGCGTGTGGTGAGTGCCCGTAATCCCAGCTACTGGGGAGGATAAGGTGGGAGGATCATTTGAACCCAGGAGTTCAAGGCTGCAGTGAGCTACAATTGTGCCACTGCACTCCAGCCTGGGTGACAGACTGAGACCCTGTCTAAAATATATACATTTCAGCATGAATATTTAACAGATAAGGACTTGTAAAAAAACAACCATTATCACATCTAAATTAACTAATACTATTTTTTAATAGTATGAAATATTCAGTGTTTGAAGTTTTGTCTCACAAATCCTATAACTTACTTTTATAGCTTGCTTGTTTGAAGGAGGATCCAAATAAGCTTCATGCACTGAAGTCAGTTCATATGTCTCTTAAATCTTGTTTAACTTAAATCTCTTAAATCTCTTTTAATCTCATTTTTTTCCTTGTAACTTATTTGTTGCAAAAAACAAGCTGTTTGTCCTGTAGAACGTCCCACAGTCTGGATTTTTCTGATTGCAGAAAAATATATATATTCACATCTTAAATATAAGTAATTTTAGTAATTTTTACTATGTGGAAATATACAAGGTGAGCCTATGCCATCTTGTACCACACAGCAGGAGAGCTATCAAAAACTACTAGGGTCGTGTAAAAAGATGTCAGGAACCAATTTGAAGATGCTATCACAGACCAACGAGGATAACTTGAGCATTAATAAGAATAATAAATAATATGTACAGAAGCACATTAAATACACCTCAGTGAATAGTCAAATTATAATTAGAATAGAGAAAACAAAAGTTATTTAAAAATAAGACAAAGGTACACAATATCTAAAAATCTCTTGTGATGTTACCTAGATCTATTATTAGTTCATTAAGGATTGTAATAATATATACAGAAGCACATTAAAATATATACGTATTTTTTATAAATATTTATTTATATAAAATATAAATAAAATTTATATTTATATTAAATATGTATATATAAATACATACATATTTTATATAAATATTTATATTAAATATGTATATATAAATACATACATATTTTATATAAATATTTATATAATAGATAAATAAATGTTATTTATATAAATATAAATATTTATTTATATAAAATATGTATACATTTATTTTTGGCAAGACTGCTTCATAGGGAGTGGAATATTTTGTCATCAGGCAGTACATTATATCTGAAAATTTCTGCTTTTGTGATGTGACCTAGATTCATTATTAGTTCATTAAGGATTGTAAAAATGGTTTTTTGTTTTTTTGAGATGGAGCCTCACTCTGTCGCCCAGGCTGGAGTGCAGTGGCATGACCTCAGCTCACTGCAATCTCCATCTCCCCAGTTCAAGCAATTCTTCTGCCTCAGCCTCCTGAGTAGCTGGGACTACAGGTGCATGCCACCATGCCTAGCTAATCTTTGTATTTTTAGTAGAGATAGGGTTTCACTGTGTTAGCCAAGATGGTCTCCATCTCCTGACCTTGAGATCCACCTGCATTGGCCTCCCCATGTGTGAGGATTACAGGCGTGGGCCACCATGCCCAGCTAAAAATGGTAATATTTTAATCCTATTATTCCTTAAGTTGACTTTCTGGCAGGTGCCAATGGTGTTTGCTTTGTCTTATTTTTAAATAACGTTTGTTTTCTCTATTCTAATTATAATTTGAACTCATTCATTGAAATGTATTTAATGTGCTTCGGTACATATTATTTACTATTCTTATTAATGCTCAAGTTATCCTCGTTGGTCTGTGATAGCATCTTCACATTGGTTCCTGACATCTTTTGACATGATTCTAGTAGTTTTTGATAGCTCTCCTGCTGTGTGGTACAAGATGGCATAGGTTCACCTTGTACCATATTTCCACATAGTAAAAATTACTAAAATTACTGATATTTAAGATGTGAATATATATAAATATAATATAAAACCATAGGACAGAAACTATTTATAATAGCAAAAGACTAGAAATAACCCCAATGTCTATTAATAGAGGACTGGTTGAATAAACTATGATACCTACACACAGTGGAGTCTGGGTAGCTATAAGATGGAAGTAGGATTTTTTTTTTTATTGAGACAGAGTCTCACTCTGCTTAGGCTGGAGTGCAATGGGACAATCTTGGCTTATTGCAACCTCCACCTCTCAGGTTCAAGCAATTCTCCTGCCTTAGCTTCCTGAGTAGTGGGGATTGCAGGTGCGTGTCACCATGCCTTGCTAATTTTTGTATTTTTAGCAGAGATGGAGTCTCACCACGCTGGCCAGGCTGGTCTTGAACTCCCAACCTCATGATCCACAAGCCTTGGCCTCCCAAAGGGCTGGGATTACAGGCGGGAGCCACTGTGCCCAGATGGAAGGAGGATCTTTAAATATACTTATTATGGATTAGTCTCTAGGATATATTACAAGTGAAAAATGGAGGGAGAAATTTGAGTCTACAATGCTACTGTGTATATCAGAATGGATATATATGTATATTTATATACACATACACACATATATGCATGCATACACATACATGTAAATACATTTGCTTATATTAGAAAACAAAGAATGGAAGGATTAACATCACAAAATATTAATAACAGTTACCTATAAAAAAGAGAGGGAAGAAAGTGCAGGGGATAGGGATAGAAACTAGATTTTTTTGAATTCACTTTGTTTTGTACATTTGACTTTGCCCGGGCTGGTCTCGAACTCCTAACCTCAGGTGATCCACCTGCCTTGGCCTCCCAAA